CAATGCGCAGCTGTCTAACCAAAACCCCAGAAAACATCGGTGAACGAAATTGCGGCAGCTACAACCACTGTACGACGAGGACGCTGTTATTACAGCTGACAATGATGATGATGACTCACTGGAACTCAATTCCTGGAGGTTCACTCATGTCAGTAGGGAGCGGTACGACGATGAACTTGTCTCCGTACTCTGAAAACTCGTACTACGGGGTGATCTGGAGTAAAGCCGTAATGTCTTCTGAGTAGTTATTGAAGCAGTAAGTTTTTCCCTTCAGACAACCAACACACCCATATTTTTAAAAGTTGTGATGATTTCCCCTGGGGAAGGACGGTTCAGAAAAGCTCCTCTAAAACCCGCACACCAAATTCCCGGCAGTTGGTCGTGACGATGGGCGCATTATTCATCACGGTTGAAACACCCTTAACATTGAAGAGTCCGGTGCCGCACAGAGGCTACTTGATGTGCGCATCTGCATCAGAAGTTTCAACGATGCTTGGTAGAATAAGAGCACCATGCACTGCGAAGGTCGACCGGAATGGAACACAGCTTGAGATGAAAAAGCGACTTCAATATAGCGGATACTCAGTGGGTTTAATTAAGCGGCAACTAAGATGAGTATTAGCCCAACAAGAAGTGGATTGGTTCAGTGGTCATTCCATACAAAGCAGGGACATCTGAAGTCATTAGAAGGGTACCGAATACGGCTTACTATAGGAGTAGCATTCCAGAATGGCAAGACCTTACCCTCAATGTTGGTGCAGTTGGATCTTCACCTCCCGGTTGATAGGACTGGGAACCGTGTGTAGGAAAAAAACTGTACGGAGGCTTATATGGGCCAGGTAGCCGGAAAATTGCATACCGGAATCGGCGATGCATAAGCGATGCATTGCCAGACCACCGAGAAACGTAGATGAATGTCAAACGGTAGTCAAAGATTCAGTAATGGCAGGGCATGCAGTAGATACTGAGAACAGGATAGATTTGGGAGATTTGAACATTCTGAGACGTGGACTGGGATTCACACCACAACGACTGATAGCTGAGGCGGCGAAAATCACGAAGCATCCTAGCGTGAATAGAATGGAGGTAAGCCTGTGGAGACCAGTTCTAGATCAGCCGAGATGACATGAGGCGGTGTGCAGTTGTCAGCAAAATGGTCTAGGTCTATAAGCATCCAATAAGATCCAATCAACCAACCAACCCCAAGCCAACTATCCCGGGACCCCTCGACGCACATAGGCGAACAAAATCTGTGAACTACCCCATTGAGGTGTCCTAGACCGGAAAACAAGGCCGCAAAATCCGGTCTCACCATGAAGGCAATACCCCCTTACCAATCTATCATAAATATTAGTCATCTCTGCAAACCAACAAGCAGCAACTTCAGATCGGCACCTAGCACTGATCAAGTCGGCTAGTCATAATAAATCTCACACAAATTGATTCCTCGACTGCCTTCAAACTCAATCAATCTGATTGTCTAATCATCTGACCTGACGAGCTTTTGTGTCCAAAGCGGAGTGTTGCTTACCGATTATTTATCAAACCGCTCTGAATGGGTTTATATTTTCATAGCTAAACTGGTCTGGGCTTCCCTTATCCTCTCGGTTTAGGGATTTATGACCTGCCCATATGGTATTTTGTGTAGCTTCCATGCAGTAGCTTCAAGCTTCGTCCCGTTTGGCAAGTCATTTTTCAGTCTCACCGAGGTTCGGAAAGTGAAGCTTGGAAGTTTTACTTTGTTTCATGAATCATCCATTGGCAAACTTGAACTAAGTGGGCAATGCCACCTAGTCGATAATAATTGACTCCGATCATTAGCTCTTTCGTTGGTTAGAATTAGATCGTGGAGTGAAGTATTGTTGTACCTCGAAATCGCACTGATACAGGACGTAAGTACTGTAATTGAACCGACTGTCCCCTTGCTCTCTTACAAGTTCTGACTGCGCACCTCTGGTGATTCAGAGGCCGCTGCAACTGGATATGCTGGCCTAGTTATCGTCCTGAGAGAGCAAGCTGTAGCGTCTCTACTTGCTTGGGAAGCCGTTGATAGTCACCTCTGAATGGTTTGCTTGGAAACGTCTCTGAGAGAATCTTGAGAATGGGGAAGGTCCAGCGCAGCCTGCTCATTGTGTCTGCTCACGCCTCAACGGAATGTAGCTCTAAATCTGCCGAAAAGAGGTTTTATGAATCTCTAGGTGCTCTTTTGCAACGGACTGAAAGCTCACATGTCGTGGTTGGCGTTTAGACTTGGGCAACCTAGCAGTATCCCAGCTCCCGTGCTTCCTTTGGGTGGCATGGCAGCTAGTTACCGAAACGATGTTACAGCTAAACGATTTGGTAACATGAACGTCCAGGCAGGTGCCACTGAGGCCCAACTGGGTGGTCGTATTGGGTTGGATACGAGACGCATGGACGACGGGAATCGTCTACTTCAAATGTGTGCCGATCACCGACTGCTTCTTTACAGTACCAATTTCCGGAACAGCAGAACTCTATTGACAACGTGGTGCCAACCAACGAACCAGCCCGCCAGTATCCCACTCCCGTGCTTCCTTTGGGTGGCATGGCAGCTAGTTACCGAAACGATGTTACAGCTAAACGATTTGGTAACATGAACGCCCAGGCAGGTGCCACTGAGGCCCAACTGGGTGGTCGTATTGGGTTGGATACGAGACGCATGGACGACGGGAATCGTCTACTTCAAATGTGTGCCGATCACCGACTGCTTCTTTGCAGTACCAATTTCCGGAACAGCAGAACTCTATTGACAACGTGGTGCCAACCAACGAACCAGCCCGCCATCAGTTACCGGTGGTGAGGGTCGATCACTGCTGCCCCTTTTGAAATATTTGTTTGGACTCCGACCATGTAATTGTGCGCTGCTGCTTTTCATTGCATTTTTCAGATCTATGAAAGACGCACACGCCCCGCTTAGTCATTGAGAAACTAACTGATCCAGGAATCAAACGAAACTTTTAGAAACGGCTCCTTGAGTGCCTGTCAGACGGTCGCAGATTAACTGGGAACAAATATCTACAGTGCTACTCAGAGCTAGAACTTCTGACCAGTCAACCTCATCCAAATATTGGATCTATGATAGCAGTGTAGCTTTGCAGGAGGCTCGGCGACAGATTCCTCCTGACCGCAACTACAACTCGACCTGACGCATCACCGTAATGTCCATGCAGCCCGCGAAGCTTGGTGGATTCGAAATGCCGAAGAAATTGAAGAGGTAAACAATGCTGGAAACGTCCGCGGGCGGTTCCACTTGCTTCGTTCGACGGGTCCTCAGGAGCATCTGTGAAATCACCGGGGACCAAAATGGCTCTCTGATATCCAGGAAAGAAGAACGTTTGAACTGCTGGGCACAGTGCTTCGAGCGGAAATTCAGTTGGCCACCTGACACCTACAATTCGGACTGCCGGCCTTCAACAGAAAAGTGAACCGTGAACATGCACCTCCCTTAACCTCAGAAGCATCCAAATGTGTCTCTACTAAAGCGTTACGATGCCCCTGGCCACGACGGCCTTCCACCTACTGTGTTCGGGGATGGCGATGAATTCCTCATTCAATGTATGTCTGTTTGTATCTATCTGGGAGCTTGTTGATGGAAATCGTGAGGTTATGCAGTTTGCTGTCAAGTCGGTGGGCGTCAGTATGATTTAGAGACTCAAAGTTCAGGACTTCCGTTGAGAGTGGTTCGGCCGGATGAAGCGAGAGGGATTCGCTCTGGTAGATTTCCGCTTCTGTGGCTTCAGTGCGGATTGCCAACTTCACATATTTAGCTTACAACCGTCCTCTGAGGTCTTCATCCTCAGACTAATTAAGGAGTGTGATTTAGAGAAAACCATCGTTGGTAGCAAGTCTCATCCCTGGTTCCCAGCTACAAGCTGAAGTCCCTCGAGGGGTAGCTCGTTTTTCCATCTTATTATAACTTGTTATACCGTTGCGAGTGATCACAATATATCATCCTAGTTGCTTTCGGATCACCTGAAATGTCGATACGACCGTCAGTAGAAGTTTGTCTTCGCGACTTAACAGCAGCCTATTCCGGGAGAAGCAAACAGTCAATGAAGTCGTGGAAGCCAGTAAGCGGAATTCAATAATCGTTGCTTCATGGCACTTTTTCCGTTTGCGTAGAACCGTCGTCAGGATTTTCAACGGAATTATATTCGAACTGCGGAGTCAATCGTTGTATTGCGTAGACAAGATTAAAATTTTTATGCAGCCACTGTTTTCTATGCATCATGCTTTCACGTTCACCTTTGAGCGATTCTGTACCCCGCTCTTCGCCGGTCGTATCTCACGTTGTGAGGTTCTAAAGTCTAGTGGGTATGTTGTAACCCAGTTCACCGGCGACACTAGGTTTGCGCTTTTTCCTTAATTAGGACGTACAACCGATTAGGAAAGTTAAGTCGTTAATCTACCACGTGTACGCTAACATCCATCAATATTCGGTGTGTTTTATGAGCCTATCACTCCTTTTTTCAGGTACACTGAACTTCTGTGTTACGTGCAATCAAACATCACTATGGGTTGTATCGTCAGTTCGGTGGCCTGTTGTTTCTGTTCATCGGCGGCCAGTTTATGTTGTTCTTGCCTTCCGTCTTGTAAGAGCTCCACGTCGTCCCGCATTATGTTCAGTCTCATCCTGGTTTTAACCGCTTTACTCTCTGCTATCGCGCTAATCCCACAAGTTCGCACGTCACTCACCAAAATTCCTGCTTTATGCACGCCTTTTAACTTGGCTACGCTCGAGACAAACGTGCGCGGTGTTGTAGACTGCGATGCGATTACAGGATTTGGCGCTGTCTATCGCCTCTGCTTTGCCACTACCATGTTCTATTTATTATTTACACTACTGATGATTCGCGTTACATCTTCTAAAGACCCTCGTTCGAAAATCCAGAATGGTTTTTGGTTTTTCAAATATCTTATTTGGTTCGGTCTGGTGGTCGGTGCCTTCTTTATTCCAGTGGAAGGCTTTACGACCTCATGGATGATCATTGGAATGATGGGAGGTGCTCTGTATATTGTTATTCAACTAGTATTGCTCGTGGATTTTGCGCACTCCTGGAATGAATCTTGGATATCCAAATGGGAAGATACCGGTGAAAAGTGCTATGCCATTGGGTTGGCAGCTTTCACGACCATATTCTACATAATATCTGCGGTGGCAGTAGGCTTGCTGTACCATTTCTATGCCGGTGCCACAGAGTGCGCCGTAAACAAGGCTATGCTGAGTTTAAACCTTATCTTTATCGTTGGAGTCAGTGTCATATCCGTACTGCCGATGGTTCACGAACGATTGCCCAGTTCCGGCTTGCTTCAGGTGGGTTTCTGTTTAATCCAGTGTCATTTTCTTTGGTACTGGTGAACGTATATAAGCATCATCATCATCAGCAGCATAACATCATTGTTTAGCACTGATGCTTTCACGACTTTCGGCACTCACGGATACGGACGTCCTTTGTAGTACTGCTCATGGTCTCAAATATTGTTTAGCCCTTACATTCTATGCATGCTAATAACTCACGTCTCCTAATGGTAGTGAAGTCTGACCACATTGCACCCTTACCATCTATGAAAGACCTCACATTTATGAAACCAATTTTTTGTCCGTACGCGGACACGCTTTTTGAGTGGTTCACGGAGATTGGTTTACTAGTTGACGAACATATGACTTTCGTAGTTTTCCCTCAAGTCCTAAAATCTTATGGTTTCGTGACTTTCTGTGGAACTGGGAAATTAATCAATCTAACTAATGCTTCATAGGGCTCCTAACGCTGACTGCAACAATTGATGCCGACCAACATTAGAATCGGAATCAGTGTAACGGAGCAAACGAGGAACACAGTGACATTTGAGTTTCCCACCAACTTATGTTCGAAACCGTCACAGCTGAGAACCGCCACCAACTAGTGTGTTTTGAAGATGAACTAGTGAGGAACCTCGATGGAGTAGGAATCATTCCGCCATGGTAAGGACAAAGAAATGAAGATGTCAAATGACCACAGATACTTCCTGTGTTCAGAGAAGAATGAACATGGAGGATGTGATAACAGTGACGTCAGGGCCAACAAAGTTCCCGGTAATATGGACTAGCGATATCACATCAACGCTTGGACTGTTTGTCACATCATCCCTATTGGCGATCGTATTCGACGGAGCTTGTCTTTTAGATTACGTTTAGCTTAGTACCACACTTCCCACGGAGTACCATACAGTCATGTCCACCGGGGAGGGGGTGCTCGTTTCGGTTGTCATGAGTGGGCACTCGGTTCCGATGCAGCACAATCGTAGTTTTAGCTGTTAGGAACTGGGGCAAACTCCGATCTACCTGTCAGCGCTTCGAGGCTGATCAAGAAAAGGAGCGTTGTTGTCTAACAATTCCGATTTCATTCATGCAGATGCGTCAACAGGTTGAACAACCCCATAAGTTTGCCGATGCTAGTACATTCATCATAAGTCGCCTAAACGTGGATCGTTTGCATTCGATTATCAAGGTCTGCTGAGTCTCGAAATGCGTCACACCTATGTGTATGGCGCCAAATGCCTGACCAGCGCCAGGTCATTCCATGAATTGAAGTAAAAATGTGTGTTCCTTAAACTCAGCTGAACTCCGTTTTCTGTTGTAGTTTGGATCTTAATAGGCCTTGCAGAACTTTTTCAACTTCCCATATAGCAGTTATGTGGGAATACGATCAAATGCGCTAATTTCCACATAGCATAATCAACAGTTTGTTACCAATTAATGCGCCATCGGTACCGCACACTTCCGCCTCTTTAAGAACCTAATTAGCTGATATCTGGTGTGACTAAAATATGCTCTCCAGCTTCCGCAGACGTTGCGGATAAAACTGACTGAGTACTCGAATATGACGCCAGTGTATCGTCCATATTTCGGTACCGTACACGGTGCACTGCGATTCTCTTCTCTAATACGCAAGTTAACCAAACAGTTCACAGACACCCAATGTCTTTTATGTACCATACTGGAGCTGAATTCTAATGAGGTTATTGAATAGCCAATTTGACGAAAGATCGATCGAATGAATGAACTGTAGGAGCGCAATGGATGGACGTGTGACAGATTTATCCGGTAAATTGACTTGATTCTATTGATTTCCTGTGTGATCCTACTTTGGTTCTCAGGGTTCAATTATCTTTATTACTTGGAAGGGTCAGCTAACAAAACTGAGATCTGTGCGTTGCGGGTCTGCGGCCCCCTATAGAAAACCCGTATGAAAGCCCCGTGGCGTTGGTTCATATGCACCGTTTTACGGAGAGATGATGTGATGAAATTTGAAACCGAACAAATTTCCTTTTCTTCCGTTCAGTCCTCCATGATAAGCTGCTATGTGGTTTTCTTGACCTGGTCATCAATGACGAACGGAAAGGATCCAAAATGCAATCCGTCCATGTCTTTTCAACCAGTCACCAATTCGACCGTTCCTGATGAATCGGTCTCACTGAGGTTTGACTGGCAAATTGCCATGGGTCTCTTCATTCTTATCCTTTCTGTGCTGTACTCTTCCCTACGGTCGAGCTCGCACACTGCTGTGGGAAAACTTGGAATGGCGGTGAGTTTGCTCGTCATTGCTGGAAAATCCTATCACTGTTATTTGTTTTTGGCATCCAGTAATCTTATTACTTGTGAGACCGTTTATCAAACCGCTTTTTATCAAACTTAAGTTTTACTGCAATGACGCAAAACCATGAATTCATTTACATTGTGGAAACAGCAATTATTCAGTGTAATCAGACTTTGTTGCAGTGTTACTGTGGTAACATGATAGCCCTTTGTACGTTGGAAAATTGGCTAAATTAAGCGATTATGTTCGTGAAAGAATTGCAACTGGATCAGACATATGCCATGTGGCAAGCGCTAGCAGCAATGTTCTTTCTTACGAGGTTGTTTTTTTTTACTCTGTATTGTTGTGAAGTTTCTCATGGACGAACAGTTGTCCTCAGTTGGAGGATGTTTCTTGTATTGGAAATTTGGTATGAGAGGACTACGCTATCATGACGCTAGTCTCAGTGTTCCATTGTAATATCATCACCAAGAAGGAGCGAGATAGCTCAATGGTTAGAGCGCAAATCGAAAGAGCCGTGGTTCGAACCCGACCTTTGCCTCTTGGCTTCCCCTGTCTAGGCTGGCACTATCCCAGCCCTCGTGCCTCTTTCGGGTGGTATGTCAGTTAGGTGCCGAAAGGGTGCTACAACTGAACGACTTTTTTGTCATCAGAA